GTGATAGTGAGGGATGTTTCCCACTTATTTTCGACTTTTATTCGCTTACAGCGAATAAAAGTCGCACGTATTTGACGGATTTCTAGCAATTATTGAACCAGGGTTTGATGATCGTGTTGTTAACGAGTTTAGTGCAATTGCAGTTCGCTCAGATTTCAGCTGAAGCCAGTGATTCTTCCACAACTAGGGAAACTCTTTCTCCACAGTTTGTATGGGTCGTAGTGAAAGTGACGCATACAGGGAGTGAGAACTACACTAGCTTACTGCTAAAGCGATCCCTGAAAGAGAGAGTTACTGTTTCTCTTGGTAGTCTAGAACCACCGACTGCTCGCAGCTACGTGTACCTCACACAGAGAACAAAGAACGGTTTTGGCTTCTTAGAGCAGCTTGTCTGCGTTTGTGCGCTGTTTTACTTAAATGTCAGAATTTTGCAGAGAAATTTTCAATCAAATTTTATTTCGTCGTTTAAACTTTGATGGCTGCCGAGGTGTTTAGGTATAGCAGCATTCGGCATGTGGCTACAATATTGAGGGCTTCATACGCATAGCGCCCACATTGCTGACAGGCATGGTGCGGTGGTGGCGCCACTCCCATGAGAAAGATGGAGGTTACATCTCTACTGGTGGGACAGCTAGTCTCTCCACGATTCGTTCTTTCGATGGCAAATTGGTAGTCGCACATTCCAGGGAACTTCTGTTAGCCTGCTTCAAGGCAACTCGTGAAAGACTGATCCTTTCGGAGGCTTCGCTGACGGATGGTTATCGCTGACACATGTGACCATTTGGGTTACTTCTAATTGCCAATATGTCACATGAAGTTAACTGTTGGGAATTCACTCGTTTCTAACAAATGTAGCAGTTCTGGCAGACACTTGCGTTTAAACAATGTAATAATCACTGAAGGATCAAAAGGACAAACTTCTAATTAGCTAGAAAATTCCTAGTCGTAAATGTTTACCTAATTACTTCGAAATTGAACATCTACGAGTTATAAAATTAAGGGTGGCCAACACCGGAAGTGACATGGACAAAGGATGGTATCCCGCTTTCCAAGACAACCAGTCCAGAGCTGATTTTTTCGAGCATCGGTGGGCGTGTGTCACTATCCTTTCCTGCGGCGCAACCTGAGCATGCCGGCAAGTACATGTGCACGGCCAAAAATGCGTCCGGCGTCGCAACTTCCAGTGCTCAGCTTGTCGTTAGACGTACGCTCCACTTTTTACTCTTTTTTTTTTTCCTGCAAAAGTCGCATTTTAAGGCGGTTAGGTTTGTTCGTACATGTATTCTCAGGTTGCTGCATCCGATCGTTAGTTTGCACTGCAACAAATTTTAGGAGCTATCTCGTAGATATCCTGAAATTTGTCATTCTTTAGTGTGGATGTTTGCTAGTGTTTTAGCACGAACTGTTGCGCCAGACTTTGTGCGCCGATTAATCAGCGAAGAAGTAGCAGAATCTGAAACACTGAAATGGACGGTCCAGGTGACTGGCGACCCAGTACCAAAAGTCACCTGGCTGAGGGACGGACAGATCATACCGAATTGCGATGAAATTCGTCTGATTGACGTTAGTTTCCACGCGTTTTCTTGAATTTGTGTAGAAATCGAATTATGTGCAGGTAATGTCCTTCCGTCCTGCTCCTGCCTATTTTTGCGCGTCTGTATTTGTAATTAATCGGTTATATACCAGATTTAGAAAGGTAATTTTCTGATTTCCAGTGGCCTTTTTTAAATTCACTCATTTCCCTTTCCGCTCTCCGTACTTTCTTTTTTCACTCGCCAATGTGTAATTCATAAAGCATAAGTTTTATCATTTAACTGCGTTTTGCTTGTTAGCAGTCATAATAGTTCAAATTCAGAAACTTGTTTTTTAATTTTTGCTAACTGTGCAACGAGAAAGATGCCCATTAATTCAGATGCATTTTCCTAAGCTGCAAAACTTTCCAGCAAAATTTCACGTGTCCGTACGTGGAGGCTTTAGATTTGCAGGGCCACACGTAGGCAGAGAACATACTCTTGAAATTTTAACTTCCTAACTTTTCTGGTTCTTGAGTTGAAAACCCAGGATAAAGCGTACTCGGACACACACGCACATGCACCGATACATACACACAGGATCGTGACAGTATACGTTTTGTTTAACTATAGCAACAAAAAAACGCATAAAAAATGCATCAAAAAACCTAGTCGATAGTGAGAAAACAAAGGACAACGAATCTTTAGTTCCACCCACATCTTGCTCTGTGGGGGAAACTTCCAGTAGAATATTGTCAGCGTTAGTACATTTGTCATTGGCTGGCGAAGAAAGTAGAAAATTATTAAATGGTAATATGGAGCTACCAGGCTAAACTTGATATGAATAAATAGCTGTATAGGGAAGAGGGAAATGAATGATTGCAGGAGGGCAACGGTGTGCACACGATGGTTATTGTCCGGGTCAAAATGGCCGACAGTGGCCAGTTCACATGCCTTGCGGAGAATATCGCCGGCGAAGCGCGTAGCACTGCAGATCTTGTGGTGCGGCCTGCAGACTCCGAGCCTGGCAATTATTTCCATGTAACAAAGGTAATTCAGTCTTTTTTTAATGAAAAATTTTCAAACTATGATTCTGAAACACACTATTAAGGCGGGCGAATACACTTATTCGTCGTGTAAAAACACGGCGACTTCTGCTAAATAATGTATTTCATGTACTATGCTCGATTAAAAATAAGCGAATAGTGAAATAAACTCACTCATCCTTTTCTGTCCTTTGAATTTACTTTCCGGCCAAATTAAAAGTAACTGCCAGTTTTTCCCAATTCAGTACCGTCTCTTCCCAGTCTAGCCACGGCGTGCTGGTGATTTGCTTCATCTTCACTTTCGATTTGTTGATTTTCGGACACCCTGTTTAATGTTGAACATCATGTAGTTCATTTTGTGAGCGCTATTCGCAAAGAGAACTTTTTTGTCCGCAAAACGTGAGTGGTGTTCCAAACGCATCAAATGAACTGGTATTCAGATGTAAAATAGTCCTGCTGAGGATATTTCAGGTGACTCAGGAGAAGCAAATAAAGGGCGAAGAAGTGAACCGAAACGAAAGTTTTGCAATCGAAAATCCGCGCATGTCATCCGCTGGCATGCAGTGACTTGTTCAGCTTTGTTGCTTTGCAGCCACTAGTCGATCTTTTTATAACAGATGTTGTCTTTCCAGTGCAATTACTCTTTCACATTACCACCAGTTTTATTATAAATTATCTGCTTGTGGGTGTCATTTGCCTTTCTTAAAATCTCAGTGGACGAAACTGAGGGAAGGGCTGGAAAAGGGGAGGGAATGGAGGATTCATAAAAATATTACAAGTGCGATGTTATACGATTCTGACAGACTGCCGTTTGAATATTATTTTTAAGTAATGTTGTTGCTCGGCGTGTTAGCAGCAGATTATCTGCAGCACTTGGCTAGAGCGCAGGCACGCACTGCGCTTCGATCGATTTTTTATGTATGAATGCTGAATCACGCATAAAGCCGTTTTTGAATTAGTTGACGCAAAGAAAAAATTTAAACATTATGGCCAAAACACTGCTCAGAAGCGTCTAAACAAAGCACTGCGGCTTTGTGTTGTTCATTGGCCAGCTGAGGATCGATCTACTTATACACGCTATTTCATTTTGAAGCTTTCGATAACAGCAAAGCACTGCTCTGATCAGACAATTATTCGCACAAATCAAATCAGTTAAAGTAAGAGAATCTCTGCTTCTCGCCTGACCGTATTCTGAGAGCTGCAGCATACTGAAAACACTGGATCACTATTTCAAGTAGGCCAGCCAGGCCGCTCTATTACCACGCCATTAAGAGGATAGCACAGCCAGAACTAGTCGAGTGAATCATAGAAACGGCGTCTCGTGGGGTGCGATTGCCTGCGGAAGCTGTACCCAATCATCAGCGAAACCGATGTCATACAGAGGACGATCCCCGAAAAAATCGTCATCCGGCTTTCGAAGCTTTCAGCCAATGTGCGTCTTCGCGTGCGTTCACAAATGTACACTGCAAAAAGTTCATACTGGAGGGGAACGTGGAAGAAGCGGCAACGAATCTCATACTGCGCTTTCTGCGAAAAACCGCTGATACAGGGTAGCGAGGTGTTTGTGTGTGTGTGCGTTGTGTGTGTGTGTGTGTGTGTGTGTGTACGTGTGTGCTTGTGCATATATGTGTGAGTTTGGGTCGGTATGTGTGATCATATTTCAGCTCCTGAATGAAGAAACTAGGAAGCAGGAGCAAGCCGACAGTGTGTGAGGCCAAAAACCCAAAACCAGCTTTTAAATCATCTTGTAGCCTCACTTTTTATGCGTTTTTTTGCAGCAATGCAATGCGAACCCAGGCTGGAACGCACCAGGCGGGCCCGTGCGATCATGCGTTTTTGCACCGGACTTGAACTACTCAGGTCATTAACTTATGAATGGCTGTTGCTTTACACTTACTTTTTGCGGTCACCAGCATGAATCACCAGAAATTTTGCAAAGTAAATGTATAATTTGCATTTAACAGTCGTTCTCTTAAAAGTAACCTAGTTGTTCAGTGAGAAATTTTTGCGTCAAGACTTTCAAGCGCTCGTACGTAAGAACCACGCATACCTCAACGCCGAATTTGAAATACTTAAGTTTTACAGGGAACATCTTCTCAAAATTTTAGCCTTCCAGCTTTCCTGGTTACCGAGTGAGCAGTTTTCCCGCCAAAACCCTC